CTTTTTTTTTTTTCCTGCTTTTATCTCCCCAAAGTCCCCCTGTACATAGCTGTATATCTTAGTTGCAGGTCCTTCTAGTTGTGGGACGTGGGATGCCGCCTCAACGTGGCCTGACGAGCGGTGCCATGTCCGCACCCAGGATCTGAACCCTGGGCCACCACGGCAGAGCGTGCGAACTTAACCACTCGGCCACGGAGCCGGCCCCTCTAGGAACCTTTTAATCAGCTTCTTCTATTCGGCAACTCAGATAAACTCCTATATCACACACACTCCTTTTGGGAATTTCCCTGGTAATTTTAGTTGGAGTTAGTCTTCCATTCTCAACAAGTAATTCCTGGAAAGTGAACAACTTGAGAATGGTTCCCATGCTGAGAGCTAACAAAACACACATCCTTAGAAAACTAGGCTTTTTACTATTGTTTTGTATATCGTGTGGGATATGCAAGCTTGGAATGAGAGGACAGAAACGTGAAGGTTCTGTATCCACCAAATCTTACATTAAATCACCTTTGAACTGAACCAGACCACCAAAACTTCTGAACTCATGGTGCCATGGGTTGAAGAGTGTTCCTCAAAGCATGGCTCTTGAAACAACCACCTCAAGTGGCACATGCAGTATAAAAAGGCTATTTCCTGTATTCTTCTTCATATCTACCGAGAGACAGCCTCCGGGGGTGAGCCTAAGGGATCTAAAATTTTAGCAAGCATTTCAGTTGATTTTTATATACACAACAAAATTCAAGAACCACTAGAATAGAGTTTGACCTGCAACCATCTGTTGCAGTCCAGAGGCCAGCTGAGGAAATTATTTGAGAGCAGCATTTGTGGGCATGCATGGACTGATGGTCACTGACTGTCTCATACACTACACGGAGAACCATTACTTTGTAGATTTGTGGAAAGTAATCTGCAATTTTTATTAATACAAAAAATTCATGTTAAAAAAATACATGTTCATATTGGCCCATCAATCCCACTTTCCAAATCTTTTCTGTAAAATGAAAAGCTAATGTTAAAAGAGAAAAGCTGGGCCGGCTCCGTGGCCGAGTGGTTAAGTTCGTGTGCTCCACTGCTGCGGCCAGGGGTTCGGATCCTGGGCGCGGACATGGCACTGCTCGTCAGGCCACGTTGAGGCGGCATCCCACGTCCCACAACTAGAAGGACCTGCAACTAAGATATACAACTGTGTACAGGGGGGCTTTGGGGAGATAAAGCAGAAAAAAAAAAAAAAGATTGGCAACAGTTGTTAGCCCAGGTGCCAATCTTTAAAAAAAAAAAGTGAAAAGCAAGTTACATTGTAATTCATATGGCACAATTTCACTTTTTATAGACAATAAACAGTAAAGTGAATTTTTTAAAAACCTATTCATTTATACATATTTGAATAGAAGATAATTGAAGAAATGTATAGAATGATATATACTGTGCTCTCAAGGATGTGAGTGAGGAAATGGAAAGTAGGAGCTAAACACTACGGCTTTTTAATATATATTTCTATATTGTTTCACAGGTTGTGGTAAACATGTATTTCTGTTGTAATTTTTTAAGAAAACTCAATAAAAATCATTGCTAAAAATCCATCTATATAGAAAATCACTCATATAAAAGTTTTTGTTAAAAACATAATCAAGAATATACTGGACAGCATTTTAACGACATTTTAAAAAAAGAATGACATTGAACACAATAGAGCAGAACAAGCTGGCCTTCACTCAAAGACAGGCCAAGATGTTGTTAACATTGATAGTATCTAAAATAAAAGTAGTTACAAGTTACTGAGTGCCTCCTATGCGCCAGGATATTTGAGGATATCGTTAGAAAATGCACCTCACCTTCTCTGTCCAGGTGCTAGACCAGTGGTCAGAACCAACTAAGTTACTCACTTTAATGGGTCCAGTGGTGAAATTCAATGGCAATGAAGGCTCTGTCATGTAAATCGGAAAGATGCCTCCAATGATCACGTCCCCTGGTTGCTCCAACTTTGGGGTTCCCATCTTTTTGTTTGGATTCTCTAACTCTGTGGTGTTGGTGATGGGCAGGGCACTCAGGATAAGGCAAGCAGAGAGCAGGGAAACATTCTGGGATGCAGGTCACCTTCACATTGAGGGGTGAGGGGTGCAGAGGATCAAGAAAGAAGAGTCAGTGGTGCCTCTGACGGAGCCTGTGGTAATGACCCTGTAGGAAGCTGTTGGGCACCTGCTGACCATTAATCTACATATTCAGGACCCTCCTATCCTATTGATCTCTCTCAGGATCTTTCGGGATCAAATAGTATTTGTCTGAGAAGAGAAATTAAAATTTCACACTCTCTGGTTCCTCAGACTTAAAAGAAATCTCGATGGGTCTTGGGAAAGGAAATGAGACCTGTTTGAAAACAACTCAGGACTGCAGTGTTTAGAGCCCTGAGACTCAGTAACATGAAATTTGTTTTGCTCTTGGCTTTCCCTCTAGGGTACCATTTAGCCTCACTCATTAAATGAGTCCATATAAGTGAGTTCATATAAGTGAGTCCACGTAAGTGGACTTAGAAATGCTTCCCCCGTTCCCCAAACATTCCCTCCCAACTCCGATGCAACTCCTCAAGGAACCTCAGAAGGACTCACTTCTCAAGAGCCTTTCCGGGCTTAGGAAAGGACTCAAACCCCACTGCAATTGGTCTTGAGCTCAAGGCCATGGGGACAAAGGTTTTGCTTCAGAGCTGCTAGTGTGCTAATTGGAATCAATTTAGCTAATTCTGGTAATTTCAGGCTTCTGTACTTACTCCCCCTTGGTTTTAGACCATGAGGAGCAGCTGGATGAAACTGCTTGGAAATAAAGTGAGAAATGTCTTGCAGCAACATCAAGGTTACGGTAACAGATGGAGGCCCACGGAGGCTCCTGGGAACTCTTCAGTAACGCACTGAATTCATTGATGTCTCACAGAACATGTCGTCTAGAGGGCTAAGAACTTGGGTGGCAAAGTAGAGAAGTTGTGTTTAAAACAATGATCTATCCTTCCTCTCTTTGAAAGGGAACGAATTTTGCTCTGTGGGGATCAAGTGGGCAAGTTATGGGATCCTAGTGACTCCAGACACAGAGAACAGCACGCACTGGAGATTTAGAAGACATTTAATTATCTAACTCATAATTTTCACAATCCAAAATAGGATACCGTACCTCCCTAATTTAAAATAATTGCCCCTAATCATGGAGTGAGTTAGTAGCAAATTAAGGACTACTCCTTGGTCCAAATCCAGGGTTCGTTTCATGTTGATTATAATTCCTAAGCAAATATATCCATTCTGAGTAACTGTCAAGTTAGGCATGGTTCATCCACTCTGTCATTTCACCCTTATTTATTAAATATATAATACATGGCATGTGATGAAAATAAAGCAGTAAACAAGAGATACTATTTCTTTGCCCTTACAGAACTAATAATATCATTGGAATGATGCTCAACCAGTAATTATAGTAAAGTATCTGCTTATCATATCATGGGAAAGACATTGAACAAGAAATGATAAGACAATGTGATGATGTCAGGAGAACTAAAGGTGGTTGGAAGAAAGAACATAATATTAGAGGTAAGTCAGGGATAACTTGAATTAATACTGGAAGGATGAAGAGGAGTAAACCAGATGAAGGGAGGTCACAAGAATGTTCCAGGCAGAAGCTACTGTATATGCAAAGGCCCCCAATCAAGAGAGGGGGGTGATGCTTGAGGAATTGACTGATCATAAATGCTGGTGCATAATGTGCAAGCAGGGATGGTCGAAACAGATGAGACTGGGGAAGAAACTGGGACTACAGAAAGGCCACAATCGTTCATGAAATGTTTTTACTTAATCTGGAGGGCAATGATGTGTCTTATTTACTGTGTATTCTTAGAGTGGAGATATAAAAGTGAGACTTGGCCTTCCAGGTGAGATGGCAGATAACAAACACAATTCCCCGTTCAGTCTCAAGCACATAAAATAGTAGATAAAATATTTTAAAAATCTATCACTGAGCTAAAAATCATGGAAGTCTGTAAGGCTAGACACAAAGAGAGAAGAGGGAAATTATAATGGTGAAGAAGAACTGAAGGAGCAAAGCCCAAATCAACACAGAACATACATTGCAGGAGAGCACAGCAACATTATTACAAGGCTTTAAGCTTAGCAAGAACAAATTACAAAATGTGTGACTGAGAAATATGCAATCTGCTGATTCTCATAAATTACTGTGTTAGATTGTTTGTGCTTTGGAATCAAAGGCCAGAAGGTAGTATCTTAACAAACATGAAGGCAAGCGGCTTAAGGATGCTGGGCCCTTGCAGGAATGGAACACCATCTGCATCACTTGCCAGATTGTTTGTTCCCAGGATACTCCCTCAGAGAATGGCCTTGCGTAACGCCGGGGTACATTGAAGGGGGGGAGATTAGAACTGCTGAGCTTTGACTTGCATATCCCTGCTGGCAAGAGTTCCTGCTATGCTTGTACTTCTTGGCCTGCAAATAAATACGTGGCGATCAGAGGGATGTCACCTCGGTCCTAGAGACTGATGGTTGGTCCCGTCCTGTTAAAAAATGTAGAGTGTGTTGTGTCTATTAGATAGACTGTGTTCTATTAATTCCATCCACCCCTTCAGCTGGCTGTCTAGCTGGTCTCGGGAACACAAGTAGTCAAGTTCTGGCACTCCACTTCGGTGGCCCAGGGTTTCGCCAGTTCGAATCCTGGGCGCAGACATGGCACTGCTCATCAGGCCATGTTGAGGTGGCGTCCCACATGCCACAACTAGGAGGACCCACAACCAAAATACACAACTATGTGCTGGGGGGATTTGCGGAGGAAAAAAGGAGGAAAAAAAAAAAAAGAAGATTGGCAACAGTTGTTAGCTCAGGTGCCAAGCTTTAGGGAAAAAAAAGAAAATGAAGAATAAAAATCACATGATCATCCAGATAGACACGGAGAAAGCATTTGACAAGATCCAACATACCTTTATGATAAAAACTCTCAATAAAACGGGTACAGAAGGAAAGTATCTCAACATGATAAAGGCCATTTATTACAAACCCACAGCCAACATCCATGTTCATCTTTTGAACTTTCAACCTGTAAGCCCTTCTGTATTTAAAATGTGCCTCTTTCAGATATAGTTGAATTAAGCTTCTTTACTCAGTCTGACAATCTTTGAATTTTATCTGGGGTGTTTCTTTTTCATTTAATGTAATTACTGACAGGGTTAAATTTAGGTCTACCATTTTTCTCTCTGTCTGCTATTTGTCTCATCTGCTTGTTTCTCTCTTCCTCCTTTTCTGACTTCTTTTGGGTTAAAGATTTTTTTAATATGTAAATTCCTCTACTTGCTGTATCTTTTAATGGATGTTCTATAGAGATGACATCATCTGTAATAATCTCCTTAGAGTTATTACTGTGCTTCATGTTAAATATAGGAACATTCTCGATTTACCCTCCCTCCCACCTATACCCCTTAAAGTTGAGTATTAATTCATGCACACAACTAAATTTTACTATAATTTCTGGAAATTCTAAGATACATACTATCCAGTTGGAGTCAAAATTTTAACTCTTCGAAAGTCCCTTCCCGTCACTCTGTCTTCAATCCTGATTTCTGATCTTCAGGCCCTCCTCTAAGTTTGTTTCTTACAGTTAATTTTTGCTATGGCTGAGCCATGGGTAGCAGGCACAATTTATGACTCTAGTAGGTAGAAATGGTTGAGAAAGCAATAACCAGGCTTCAAGGAGCACATTTAGCAAGATTCACGGTCAAAGCAGAAGTTAGTGTCGGGCAGGTTGGTTCACACAAAGTCAGAGAAAACAAAAAAAGGCCCAAGGAAAGGGATTCAAAATCAGGTCAAAAAGATGATGTTATACAATTAGCAAGAGAAAGGAAAAGCAGCAGCAAGGACACAAGGAGCTCTTATCCTTTTGGTTGCCTGTAATCCTCTTATCGTATTGAGTTGATCCTTGTGCAGAATCTGAATCAATGGTTCTTAATCTGGGCTGCATGTTGGAATTACCTGAGAAGTTCTAAAAATTCCTGATGCCCAGGCTACACCCCAATCCAATTTAATCAGAATCGCTGGGGCTGGGACCCGGGTATTTTTTTAAAGCTTCTCAGATGATTTCAATGTGCATCCAGGGTCAATAACCACCGGTTTAAATGTTTGCAAATGTGTGAGTGAACAATTGGAGGGTAGGGACAGAGAAAGGAGGCTCTTCTGGGCTCAGACTTTTTTCTCTTTTTAATTCCCTAGAGAAACTTCCTGGTAATTTTCCTCTTTGGGGTCTTGATCCTCCCCACTTTGGTTTCAGGTTGAAACTACTATCTAGAGAGTCACCAGCCTCAAGTAACATTCAGTCTGCTCCCCTGATTGGTTTTCTACTGATACAGATGCCTAGCTCTTTACTCTGTTCTCTGACTAGACTTACTCCTTCTGTGCTTCCCTGGAAATTCTCTTCTCCACTGCTTCAGCTATTCTGGTTTTGTAACTGAGACACCCACATGTACCTCTCGTCCTCTTCCATACCTAATAGCATTTCAAGAAAGAGGGCTATTTTCTGTGTGACACAGCATCACAAGTTTTTGCAATATACCCTGTCATAGTTAGAACAGGTCTATCCAATCAGGAGAAAATACATAATTATTTCATGAATCTACTGCATTCAGTTCATCATGAATTTCTTTATGTTGATGAAAGGCTGAATGCACACTGAAGGTTTTCTCAATTTTCTTACATTTGTAGGGTTTTCCTCCTGTATGAGTTTTCTGATGTTGAATAAGAGATGAACTCTGGCTGAAGGCTTTGTCACAATCATTGCATTTATACGGTTTCTCTCCAGTATGAGTTTTCAGATGCTTTGTAAGGGATGAGCTCTGACTGAAGGCCTTCTCACATTCTTTACATTTGTAAGGTTTCTCTCCAGTATGAATTCTCTGATGTCTTACAAGAGCTGAGCGGTCACTGAAGGCTTTCCCACATTCGTTACATTTGTAAGGTTTCTCCCCAGTATGGGTGCCTTGATGTTGAATAAGGGCTGAACAGTAACTGAAAGCTTTCCCACATTCACTACATTCATATGGCTTTTCCCCTGTATGAGTTCTCTGATGTTGAGCAAGCCCTGACCTGTCATTAAAGGCTTTCCCACACTCTTTACATACATAGGGTTTCTCTCCAGTATGAACCCTTTGATGTTTAATAAGGGATGAGGTGTCACTGAAAGCTTTCCCACATTCTTTGCATTTATAGGGTTTCTCTCCAGTGTGTATTCTGTGGTGTTGAATAAGGTAAGTGCTTTGGTTGAAGGCCTTCCCACATTCATTGCATTCATAGGGTTTTTCTCCAGTATGAATAATATGATGCTGAATAAGGGCTGAGCGATGACTGAAAGCTTTCCCACATTTGTTACACCCATAAGGTTTCTCTCCAGTGTGAATTCTCTGATGCTGAATAAGTGATGAGCTCCGACTGAAGGCCTTCCCACATTCATTACATACATAGGGCTTCTCTCCAGTATGAATTCTCTGATGTAGGCTAAAGGCTGAGTAGTAACCGAAGGACTTCCCACACTCATTGCACTTCCAAGGCTTTTTTACCGAGTAAACCTTCTGATGTTTAATTGGGCTTGACTTTTCCCCCGTATCACTACAATCTTCCATAGGGGTTTTCTTGTGTTTAATTATGACTTGCCTTAAATCTTTCTTCTGACTTCTTTTCTGCCTTTCCAATGTGCCTTCACATTCCCAGGCTTCTATCAATCTGGGATCCCAGGAATCATCCTTTTTAAGTCTTTCTATTACCAGCTCCCTTTCAGATGATACTTCATAAACTTCCTGCTTTGAAAGGGACACTTTAGTTTCAGGTATAGATTCAGAATCTGAAATAAATAAAAAGGACAAATGTTTGTGCTCTCTGTGCCGAGAGAAGGAAAACTGCTGAGGTGGCAAGAGAATACAGAAAATAAAAGTGATGTCTATTAAAAATGCTTATTTGAACATTTTCAGAAAGAGCCTTGTGGCAATGGCAGATGAATAAGTCTCAGGGAATAACAGAGATGGGAGAATCACTAAGATAAGGCACAACAAAAGGTCAGACAATGAAGATGCTCTACCTAAGAGAATGGAAAACCGAACAGACTAACCAGGGACGAGGATAAGCAGAAGGGAGGAGAATAAATGCTAACATAAAATGAGGAAGGAGGGGAAAGATGAAAACATAGGTTGAGATTGGGCAGTTTTGAAAAAGTATTAGAAAAAAATCACTTATAATAATACCAGCTGGAGACAACCAGTTTTGACTTTTTAAATCATTCCCCTTAACCCTTTTTTAAAGGCACAGATTTTTAAAATATGTTTAGCATATGCTTTAAATATGATTTTGTGTATCCACTAACCACGGCCACCTTTCTTCTTTCCTTCCTTCCTTCCTCCCTCTCTCCTTGCCTTCCTTCTCTCTCCTTCCTTTCTTCCTTCCTTTTTTGTTATAGCAAAATTTCTCAAACAGGTTTTGTATATCTGCTCATCACCTACTTGCTCCTGAAGCCACTGCAGCCTGGCTTCTCTCCCCACCACTTGACTGAAACTGCTCTCACTGACATCACTAGCCATTTGTATGTCACCTAAATCCAGCAGATCCTTTTCATTTCTTGCTTAGCTTGGCCTCTCAACAGCACTTGACAGTCTCGACCATGCCTTCCTCCTAACAACATTCTCCCTTTTGTTCCCCAACTTTATTCAGATATATTTGACATATATTCTCCCCCTCAACTCTGCGATTCTAAGCTCTCCATGTTTTTCTCCTGATCTCTATCTCTTTGGAACTTTTTCTGTTTCTTCTTCTTAAATGTTGATGGTTCTCAGTGTTCAGTCTTAGGCTCCTCTCTTTTGCCCCCACTCTACCCTACCCACATTATCTCCTTGAAAGACATCCAGTCCGTGGCCTTAAGTGCCTTTTTTATTGAAACATATTTGACATATGACACTGTGTAAATTTAGGGTCTGCAACACGTTGATTTGATACATTTATATATTATAATATGATTGCCATTGTAGCAATAGTTGGCACCTCTATCATGTCACATAATTATCATTTCTTTTTTATGATGCAACAACTAAGACCCAGTCTCTTAGCAAGTTTGATGATTATGATAGACTATTCTTGTCTATATTCACTACACTGTGCATTAGATCTCCAGGACTTATTTGTCTACTAGTTACAACTGCTTTCTATATATCAATGACCTTAAATCAATATCTCCAGCTTAGTTCTCTCTCCCCCAGACCCATATATTCAACTATCTACTTCACGTATTCACTTGGAAATCTCGAATTCATTATATCCATACCTAACTCATCTTCTTCCTCAAGCTGTACATTCCCCAGGTTTTGCCATCTAAGAAAATATCGCCACTATCATTCTTGTTAATAAAAAGACATTAATATAAGAATATAAACTCTACCATCAAAAGGTAAGTTTTCTGAGGGTAGGAATCACACCTCTTTTGTTCACTGATATTTCTCAGGGCCCATCATAGCGCTGGTGAAGAGCAAGCACATGTTAAATCTATATTGTATGAACTGAGTTGAACACAAATAATACAAGCAGTGAGGCAACCTTGGATGATAAACCTTTCTTAAGATCCTTTCATCCCATTATAGAAACATAACCCATGTTTGAGTAAAACATATTTTTTTTTAAAAAGATTTTATTTTTTTCCTTTTTCTCCCCAAAGCCCCCCCGGTACATAGTTGTATATTCTTAGTTGTGGGTCCTAGTTGTGGCATGTGGGATGCCGCCTCAGCGTGGTTTGATGAGCAGTGCCATGTCCGTGCCCAGGATTCGAACTGACGAAACACTGGGCCACCTGCAGCAGAGCACGCGAACTTAACCACATGGCCACGGGGCCAGCCCCAAATAAAACATATTTTTAATGTTGTCATGATTTTCAGAAGTTGAGAATATCATTGTACATAAAATTTAATCTATGCCGTGAACTATAATATTAGACAAACACTTATATAGTGTTTATTATGTGTAAGCTACTATTCTGAAAGGTTAAATACATGTACATATCTAATCTTCACAAAAGCCTAAAAACGTTTTCCAGCCGAAAGTCAGAAACTTGAGAATCACATTGAATTCTATGTTACCAATCACAGCAAATAAACCAAGATCTATGGATTATACCTCCCAAATCTCTCTCAAATCCATTCTGTGCTTTCCCTCCCCACTATTACCACCCCGGTTCAGCCACCATCATCTCTCATCTAAACTAATGCAGCAGTCTCACAATGGGTCTGCTTGCATCCTCTCTCCATGCACCCCTTCCCAGCCCCATCCAAATTTGATTGTATAAAACCATAGAGTAATCAACAGAACCAGATTCAATGCTTCCCCAGAAATTAGAACTATAAGGGAATTGAAAATAACTATGAGTAATATGTAAAAGGCTCCTGTGGAAACGGTGGACAATGTGCATTAACAGTTGGGGAATTTCAGCAGAGAGATGGAAACTATAAGAGGAAGTCAAGTGGAAATGCTAGAAATGAGAAAATATGATCAGAGAGAAGAAGAGTGTCTTCAGTGGGTGCATCAGGAGAGTCAACATAGCTAAGAAAAGAATGAGTAAACTCAAAAATACGTCAACAGAAATTACCCAAACTAAAACACAACGAGGAAAAAACAGTGAAAAATAAACCAACAAGCCAGAAGAGAGCATCTAAGAGCTGTGGGACACTTTAAAATGCTTGAACATACATGTAATTGGAATCCTGGAAGGAGAAAAGACAAAGAGAATGGACAGAGATAATATTTGATGAGTTAATAGCTGATAATTTTCCAAAACTAATGAAAGACATTAAACTAAAGACCCAAGGAAGCTCAGATAACCCCAAGTAGGATGAAATACACAGACACACACATCCCTAGATAAATCATATTCAAACTATTGAAAAACAAAGATAAAGGGAAAAATCTTAAAGGCAGCCATAGAAAAAAGACACATTACATACAGAAAACAAAGATAAAAATTACAGAAACTTTTGGTCACAAACTATTATAAATGTGAAGACAATGAAGTGACACATTTAAGGTGCTGAAAGAAAAAAAAAACTGTCACCATATTCCACATTCAGTGAAAACATCTTTCAAAAATGAAGGTGAAATATAGACTTTTTCAGACAAATAAAAGCTGAGAGAATTCAATACCAGTAGACCTGAACTATAAGAAATGTTAAAGAAAGTTCTTCAGGCAGAAGTACCTGATACTAGCGAGAAACTTACATCTACATCAGGGTTCAGCAAAGTACGGCCCACAGGCCAAATCTGCCCACTCCCTTTGTTTACTACTGTTTACGGCTGCCTCCATGCCACAATGGCAGAGTTAAGCAGTTGCAACAGAGAGTGTATGGCTCATAAAACAGAAAATATTCACTATCTGGTCCTTTATAGAGAAAGTTTGCCCGCGCCTGCTCTATATAAAAAAAATGAAGAGTGCTAGAAATGGAATATAAAATTCATTTTTTCTTATTTTAAAATGCTCCAAGAGATAATTGACTGTGTTAATCAAAAAGAGTAGCATATATTGTAGATTTACAGCATATATAAAGGCCAAATGCACGACAACAATTATACAAAAGATGAGAGGGAAGAACTAGCAGCTTATAGAAGTAAGGTTCCTACACTATATATGAAGTGTTGTAATATTCTGTAAAGGGATACTATGATTAACTAAAGAAGCATATTGGGAACTCTAGGACAACCATTAAAGAAAATCTTTAAAAATAAGGTTTAATCATGTGGATAAAGAGAACAGATTAGTGGTTACCAGAGGGGAGGGGGATTGGGGGGTGGGCATAAGGGGTGAAGAGGCACATATATATGGTGACTGACAAATAATAACGTACCACTGAAATCTCACAATGTTATAAACTATTATGACATCAATAAAATAAAAAAGTTTTAATGATAAGCTAATAGTGGAGATAAAATGCAATAATAAGAAATAATCAAAAAACAGGCAGAAAAAGAAAAAAATGAACATGAAAAAGAACAAATAGAAAACAACTATGGGGCCGGCTCCGTGGCCGAGTGGTTAAGTTCGCGCGCTCCGCTGCAGCGGCCCAGGGTTCGGATCCTGGGCGCGGACATGGCACGGCTCGTCAGGCCACGTTGAGGCGGCGTCCCACGTCCCACAACTAGAAGGACCTGCAACTGAGATGTACAACTGTGTATGGGGGGTTTGGGAAGATAAAGCAGGGGAAAAAAAAAAAAGAAGATTGGCAACAGTTGTTAGCCCAGGTGCCAATCTTTAAAAAAAAAAAGAAAACAATTACGTGTATGAAAGACTTAAATCCAACCATACCAACAATAACTTTAAATGTAAATGGTCTAAACACACCAACTGAAAATCACAGATTGTCAGAATGGATTTAATAACCAGACCCAATTACATGCTGTCCACAAGAAACTCACTTAAGTTAAGCAAAAAGAATGGGAAAATATACCATGCAAACACTAATGAGAAGGAGGCTAGAGTGGCTATATTAATATCAGACAAAATTAACTTCCAAACAAGGAATATTACCAAGGTTACAGAAGGACATTATATGAAAAAGAGGTCAATTCACCAAGAAGACATAACAATTCTTAATGCGTATGCACCTAACAAAAGTGTTTCGGTATACGTTAAGCAAAAACTAACAGAACTAAAAGGAGAAATAGACAAATCCACAATTATAATTGGAGAATTCAACACTCCTCTGTCAGTAATCAATAGAAGCCAATGGACAGGAAGTCAGTAAGGACAGAGAAGACCTGAACAACACTGTCAATCAACCTGACAATAACTGACATTGATTTTCAAGTGCACGTGGAACAATTATCAAGATTAGATTATAGATAATACAACAAACCTCAAAAACTTTAAAGAACTGAAATCATACAAAGTATCTCTGACCACAGCAGAATCAAACTATAAAATCAAAACTAGAAATTTATTGAAAATCACCTAAAATTTGGAGACTTGTAAATAACCCATGAGTCAAAGAGGAAATCACAAATGAAAACAGAAATTATTTTGAACTGAATGGAAATGAAAATACCACAAATCAAAATTGTGGAACATGGGGCCAGCCTGGTGGTGTGGCGGCTAAGTTCGTGAGCTTCACTTTAGTGGCCCAGGGTTTACAGGTTCGAATCCCAGGTGTGGACCAAGGCACCACTCATCAAGCCACGCTGTGACAGCATCCCACATACAAAATAGAGGAAGATGGGCACATATGTTAGCTCAGAGCCAGTCTTCCTCAGCAAAAGAGGAAGATTGGCAACAGATGCTAGCTCAGGGCCAATCTTCCTCACAAAAAAATTAAAAAATAAAAAAAAAACATTGTGGAACATAGCTAAAGCAGTTAGAAGGAAATTTATAGCATTAAATGTTCCTATTAGAAGAGAATAAAGATGTTATATGAAGATCTTATATTAATGATCAAGATAGAATAAGAAACATACTACATTAGACAGTCATGTGTCACTTAATGATGGATCATTCTGAGAAATGCATCGTTAGGCAATCTCGTCATTGTTCAAACATCACAGAGTATACTTACACAAACCTAGATGGTATAGACTACTACACACCCAGGTTATATGGTACTAATCTTACGGGACCACCATCATGTTTGTGGTCTGTCATTGACCGAAACGTCATTACGCAGCGTGTGACTGTATTACATTATATTAAGATCTTATACAACGATCAAGCTTCCACCTTAAAAAACTAATAAAAGAGAGCAAATTAAACACAAAGTTAGCAAAGGGGAGAAAATAATAGATAAGAGTAGCAATGAATAAAACTGAAAACAGACAATAGAGAAAATCGATGAAACCAAAAGCTGGTTCTCTGAAAAGATCAATAATATTGTTAAACCTCTAGGAAGACCAACAAAGGAAAAAAAAGAGAGAAGATACAAATTACCCATATCAGCAATGAAAGATGAGAAACCATCCCCAGAGCTCACTCAAGAAGAAATAGATAATCTGAACAGTCCTGTATCTAGCAAAGGACTTAGATTCAAGGTTAAAAACCTTCCAAGAAACCAAACTTGAGATCCAGATGGCTTTACTGGATAGAGCTTTTGGTGTCATATATAATAAAATTTTGCCTTACAAAAGGTTACAAAGACTGTCCGTAATGTTATCTTCTAGAAGTTGTATAGTTTTAGATTTTATACTTAGGTCTGTGACCCACTTTGAGTTACTTACTATATATGGTGGGAGGTATAGATTGAGATTCTTTTTTTTTTAATACAGGTGTCCACCTGTTCCAGCACCATTAGTTGAAAAGATTCTCTTTTTAACACTGAATTGCTTTTGCACCTTTGTCAGAAATTAATTGACCATGTAAGCGTGGGTCTACTTCTGGACTATCTGATCTGTTCCATTGGTTTACACCTATCTTTTCACCCATACCACACTGTTTGAATTACTGTAGCTTCTAAGTCTTAAAAGCAATATAACGAAGCTGTCCTTTTTCAGTTCCACATATGGTGAACTTTTGCTTGCCAAAAGAGAAAAGAAGCCCAATTCTGAGCCCCAAGTTATCAGGGGCTCTCCAGATCCTAAGCAAAACTATGACATTTTAGATGTCATTAGTTATTAAGGAAGCTGACATCTCAGTAAGCACTCTGCATTACAAAATGACTTCCTTACCCCAGAATACCAGGTTTCCACAATTCTCCACCTCCAGATCCAGGCCCATGTTCCTCTGGGCAGAATTCAGCTGGTCCACCTCCACATGGGCAAAATCCATTTCCTCATCCTTCACTGTCACCAGTTCCTGGAAGTACAAGCACATTCTTCGTAATCCTTGAGGGAAGAGAACAATCTAGAAGACGAAGTGTCTTTTAATCTGAAGGTTAAATCTTTATTTTAACCATTTTAATGGAATATTCTAAAATTTCCAAGTATTAATCTGTGTTAGGGAAAATAATAATAATAGCTAACATTTATAATTTATTTTCTATGTGCTAAGTCCTTTGAATGAACTATCTCTTGTAATAATAACTATATGAGGTACTATTATTAACATTATTTACAGCTGTAAGGATCAGATCTGAGATTTGGACCCAGGCAGTCTCACTCGAAAGCTATACTTTTAACTATATTCTTCTATATTATATAGAAGATATATATATATATATATATTCTTTTATATTATATAACTATATTCTTCTGCCTCTTACATATTTTGTTAAATAAATGTAATATAACCACTGAATGATAACCAAACGTTAATTACTGATTATATTGTAGATGGGATAAGGCTCAGATAAGTAATTTATACTGATTCCTGGGCTAGTCCAAGATTTTACAGAAATTCAGCTTGATGTCCTGAATGTATGTAGACATTCATGCTGTTCTCATGCTCTTCTAATAGAGGCGCCTTCTTTCTCTGTACTTAGGGCCATGACTTTTACATTTATTTAGTTATCCTTTAGCAATTAAAGTTGTTCTGAATGAGTGAATTTACTGATTTTACATTGAAAAGGATCAAATGTTCTAAGATAAGATTCATACTTTATGTTATATTGACAGTCACATGAGCGTCCTTTGTTGACCATAATTAATTGGAGAATACTTTGTGGGAAAGGATGTCCGTAAAAGAATAGAGTCGTTAGAGGCATAGGATTTAGCATCAGACATACCTGGGTTCTGATCAGGGCTCAACCATTTATGATTCTGAGCATGTTACTGTAGCCTCAGTTTCTTCATCTGTGAAACAGGTTATAAATAATCACAGGATTATTTAATTTAAAATAAAGCAATGTTTGAAAAGGGGCTCTAAACACTGGAGTTCTCCAGAGTGCAGTCCTTAGACATCTTCTTGTCTCCATCCATCTTACACACCTATCAACAATCTCTTATTTCTCCCGTCTTTAGGGGAAAAAAACCTCTTTGGTCTTACTACTCCTTACAGCTATCACTTCTATCCTTTCCTGGAGAGTAAAACTCTCCAAAATAGTTATCTGTAGTCCCCGCCTCCAATTTCTCTCCTCTTACTTTTTTCTGAACCCATTCCAACAAGGCTTCACGCCTACCGCTCCATGGAATGGCCCTTGGCGGTCACCAATGATCTTCCTATTTTAAAATCCAATGGCCAATTCTCAGGCCCCATCTTACTTGACTTAGCAGGAGCATTTAACCCAGGCGATCACTCCCCTCTCCTTGAAACACTTTCTTCAATTGGTTACCAGGATGCCACACTTTTGGCTTCCTCCTACCTCACTGGCCACTTCATCTCAGTCTTCTTTGCTGGTTTCTCTTCATCTCCCTGAACTCTAAGTGTTGCAGAGCTATAGGACTCAGTAATAAGATCTCATCTCTTTTCTAGCTACACTTATTCCCTTACTGATCACAGTTTCATGGTTGTAAATACCATCCACACAGATTATTCCCAAATTTAAAGCTCCGGCCTGAGCTGTTCCCAGAGCTTCAAGTCTTCAAGGAAAAATTACTTTGGCTCAGTTCTCTAGAGGGGATTTCCATGGACCTCAGAAGCAAGATGAAGAAAGAAATGAGGACACACTGTGAACAACAAGCTAAGATTTCAGAGGAGTGAAATTAAACCCAAACTCGCCTGGAACTCCACAGGAAGGAGCTCAACAGTAGATTCCATTTCTTCTGTGCTCTGTTTTTGGGGCAGAGAAGCATCAGCAGGAGTCACGGCTGGAAGGAGCAGGAAAAAAGCCATGAAAGAGGTAAACTCTATCTTCCCACTCCCAAATTCACTAGGACAAAAGCTATCGCAAGCCAGCTGAATTATATATATAAAGCCCACTCTACTTAACTCAAAAAGCTCAGATGAAGCTAGGGTAAGACAATTAAGTGAAAGTGCTTTCACCAAAAAGTTAAACCCACAGAGCCACAAATACATCAACCTTTTGGAACAGTCCAATGGGGGTGGAAGAGTGTGACCTGCCCTTTATCACAAAAGCAAGCACTATGGAACATTCTCCCTTCCACAGCTTCAGAGGGAATGTGGATGAGCACAGAAGTGCTGAAAGAGGAAGATGGGGCCGGAGAATGCACTACAAGGAGACCACTTAGTGATTTCCAAACATGGTAGTTTACTGAGAACTTCTCTACTTCAGGGCTTTCTCCTGACATGTGTCTGTTCCCTTTTCATTCTCATCAAGGGTATTTCCTCCACTTTCAACTCCACGTTTATTTCTGTAATTCCTACCTTCTTCCTCAACTTCAATGGTCAGATAATCCATTATCAGCTTCTCTTCTTTATCCTGTTATTGCTATGACTCCCTCCTTATTCACTGTTTCGAATGAGAGAAACGCGGACTTTTCAGCAATACATAATCTGCTTCTTCGTGTAAATCACTCAACTCTACTCTGAAGCTCTGGGAGGAGATTTTGAGGTTAGGCTTCTCCTCTTCTGGAACTGATTCCTGCTCCTTGAGGCATCATCCTCTCTCTCTATTCCGAGGAGGCTTATTCCTATGGATTTAAGTCCTAGGGCCTCAGAAGTAACCCTAATTTACTTGGAATCTTTATTATTTAGGCTAAATTAATCTCCACAGCTGGAAGACCATCCTCTGGATCACCAAGATCAGTCACTACATGCCACACCAGGGCAAAAGCAGGAAAGAATCAGGGCAGTGAAGTATGAGCCTCAGGCACACACCCGGTTCCAGACAGTGCAGAAACTCCCATGAGAAACACCCTAAACACACAAGTGGCCATAGGCGGCCTGTGATCATGGTGGCAGTAACTAGAAGCGGGGGTCCCTCACTTGGTTCATCCCTGCTATTCGTAAACACAAGGTAGTTGATAGACGGGGCTCTCAGACAGCCGATTCCTCACTCGCTCTTTAAGACTGAGAATATACAGGCCAGGATTCCCTTGCACGTTCGAACTCGAACCCCTTGAACTGGCCCCCAAGCACAGACAGGCCAAAAACTCTGGTAGGGCAAAGCACATAAGGGCAATGAGTAAGACATGGACTCCGTTTTTTCCTTTCTACCCCAAAAGTTCAACACCTTAACGCTCTCGGTGGAGTGACAAGACGTACGGCCAAAACCAGGGGGAGGGACCCAAGCTCTCCGCACGTGGGACCACTTGCCCTCAGCCCCCGGACTCCCACTCCCAGAATCCCCCGCTGCGCCACGCCCCCTTCACGCTGCCGGACTCCACTTCCCAGAGGGCTTAGCGGCAACCCCGCTTCCGGGACGCCGTCCGCTCACAAAGTCACAAAGCTGGCTCGAGACCCCCCCCTGGGGTAGCGCGCGCAGAGCCCAGGTGTGGGGCCGGGGCTCAGGCAGGGCCCAGCCCGTCCCCCGCCGAGGCCGGAAGCTGAGGGCCCGGCCCGGGCTGCGGCGCGAGGCGTTAGAGCCGTGCAGGGACGGGCGGGTCGCGGAGACCCGCGCTCAGGCCCGCTTTCTCTTACCCGCGACTCGCTGCGGACCTGGCTCCGGCCACAGAGCTGGATCCCGCCGGGCTGCGCTCTGGGAGGGGCGGGAGAGACAGAGCCGCCTCGCGGACCCACGGAGCCGCGGGGAGACAAAAGGCTCAGGCTCCGTCTGGAGTCGCATCTGCGCACTTGGAGGCGACCGCGCCCGGTCGGGGATCCCGCTCGAAGGACTGCACTTCCCAGAGGGCTCGGGGACTCGGTGCCTGTCCTCGGGGGCGTCTGCAGAGCGAGGGGGCAGAACGGCGGCTCTCTCCTGTCAGCCTTAAAATGGAGATAATTCCCCACCTGATTGATAGGGCTCCAAAAGCTCCAAATGATTTTAGTGTCTGATGATTATTTGGGGGTGGGGGGATGAGGACCTGATACACAGTCTTTTCCCTGGTATCTCTCATTCTTTCTTAGAATAAAGCCCCAAATCTGTAAACTGAGTTGCTACTGCTGATTTTGTTGAAGGCATTCTGGCTGATAAATAAAGAGCACGGGCAGGGCTGATTGAAGAGACGTAGAAGAAGAAACATGGTTAAGAATGAGTTCACGAGGAAGAGTAAGATGTGAAAAAGAAGTAGGGAGGTTGGCTCTGAAGTGGAGAATTGTGCGGACCTGGAGTTTAGGTCCAGGAAGGGCCGCTCGCCCTGAGCCAAACATAAACCAAGACAAAAGAGGCTTTTTTACTCAGTGTCAGAGACTCTGGGCTGTAGCTCCAGTTCTTCATGGGAATCGGGGAAAGACCAATTGTATCACAAGTGTCGTTCTAGTCCAAATTACCATAGTCGCCTGAATCGTGTCTCGACATCTAATCTTGCCTTTCCTCGAGCCTTGCTGTTCAAGGCAGCCAGGATGGACATTTAAAGATTCATCTGTTTATGTCACTCTTCTCAGAACCCTTCAGTGGCCGCCCTCTGCCCTGGAGTAAGGCGTAAACCCCTTAACACAGTTTATAAAACCCTGCAATCTGGCTCTGCCAGTCCTGAATTACCTGCTGCTATCTTCCTGTTGTTCTCTGTCCTCGGGTCACGTGGGCTTTTTAGTATCTCCCACATCCCAAATTCTTTGCTGTCCCTTAATCTACACATTTCCTCTGTTTAGAACATCTCCCTCTGGTCATCCTTCAGATGTCAGTTCAAATGGCTCTTCTTCAGTGAAGACTTCCCTGACCTCCTTCCCCTTAATTCAAATTAATTCTCTCACAGAACCCTTTTATTTCTGTATGTTAGCACCTACAAACATAGGTTCTTTACCCGCCACACAAGAGGGGCCAAATACAAACTGGAACTCCAGGCTTATGGCAAGGAGAGGGTTTTTATTTCAGATGACATCAGCCAGGAGACAAGAGTGAGCCCTCATATTTGTCTCGTTTCCTCTCTCCTCCCCAAAAGAGGGGAGGCGAGGGGTTTTAAAGGTTTGTGAGGAATGTGGCTGCTTGTAGAGAGTGGGGGGAGTCAGTGGCCTGGCTGGTCGGAGCTTTCCCACCTGCCTGTGTTCCACCTTGGGATGCTGCTTGCAGGAAGAAGGAGGAGATGATAAGGAACCCAGGTGGGCGACCTTGGCTGTTTGTCTTCACGGCAGATAGGGAATTCTGGGAGCCAGGGAATAAGCAGGGAAAGAGTGATTTGGTTTTAACCCCATGTATGCTGGGTTTAATGTAGGGGAACTGATATCAGGGCTGGCATCACATAGACTTGCCACAATTTGTAACTATACATTAATTTGTGCTGCTATTTAATGGACATCTTCCCCACTTGACTGTAAGTTCCATGAGATCAAAGACCATGCATGTTTTGTGCAGCACTGTGCCAAGTGCTAAGCAAAGAGCCTGACAAAGTTGAGTGTCGGGAAGCTGCCATTCCACACTTACTATTCTCAACGTCAGCTAGGTCCTAGCATCATTTAGCAGTCCTTTATTTGTCCATGGTTATCTCATTTTCTCTGTGGTTGTCCTTTTTTCTGACTCCAGAGCCTTTCCAGATACTGCTCTCCTCAGCTCTCTACCTCGTCACCAAACCCCTCTTTCTTAGTCAATGAATTCACCACCATCTATTTCACAGAAAAATGAGAGATTTTCAGATGGGAATATATCCAGCTTCTGTGAAGGTTAATTTTGTGTGTTTACTTGACTGGGCTAAGGGATGTGCAGATAGTTGGTAAAACATTTCTGGGTGTGTCCGTTACAGTGTTTCTGGAAGACATTAGCCTTTGAATCGGTAGAGTGGTAAAGATTGCCCTCGCCAATGCTGGTGGGCATCATCCCATCCATTGAGGGCCTGAATAGACTAAAAGGGTGGAGGAAGGGTATATTTACTCTTTCTGCTTGAGCTAAGACATCTGTCTTCTGCCCACGGACATTGGCACTCTTATCTCGGGGCGTCTGACTTGGACCAGGACTCACACCATTGACTCCCCTTGTTCTCATGCCTTCAGGCTTGGACTAGAACTATGCTACTGGCTTCCCTGGGCCTCCAGCTTGGAGGTGGCAGGTCATGGGACTTCTCAGCTCCACAATTGCATGAGCCAATCCCTCATAGTAAATCTGTTTTTATCTATCTATAATATCCTATTGGTTCTATTTCTCTGGAGAACCCTGACAATACAACTTCCCTGTACTCAATTCTGAAGGCATAGTATGGAAGGAAGCACAGATTACTTCAAGGTTGTCCCTCCATAGGTGTATGTTAACTATGCACCCATGGTAGTTACATTATTGTTCAAAATTGTTGCTGCCCCTACTTGCAGGAGGATCATACTTGCCTGCCCAGTAGAACTCAGGCTTGGACCTGTGACTTGCAATAATCTCCTCTTTGAAAAAGATGTGCATTTTTGTCCTGTTTAAGAGTCAGCTTCTCATCTAGCATTTCCTTTCCCTCTGCCGTGAGACTTAGAATATCTCATATAAGACTATTCCATCAGCCTGTATTCTGGAGTGAAGACATGGATATGTAGAATGAGTGAGAAAGACACCTTGGTTGTTATCTCTGAGATTTTTCAGGTTGTTCAATTCTATAGCATAACTTAGCCCATCCTGATGGAGTCAGCATCAAGATGCTTTCGGTGCACTTATAGGGTAATATTTTTCTTTTTCTTTTTTTTAAATTTAATTTTATTTATTTATTTATTTTTGAGGAAGATTAGCCCCAAGCTAACATCTGCCACCAATCCTCCTCTTTTTTGCTAAGGAAGACTGGCCCTGAGCTAACATCCGTGCCCATCTTCCTCTACTTTATATGTGGTACACCCACCACAGCGTGGCTTGCCAAGCAGTGCCATGTCTGCACCCGGGACCCAAACTGGCAAACCCCGGGCCACCGAAGAGGGTAATACTTTTCAAATGCATGTATGTTTATTTTATTTTGTTTTGTTTTAAATAATTCATTTTTCCCAACAACAGTATCAACATCTTCCCCAACAAAAACACAGCAGCCAACTTTAGGTCCTATAAGTTAAAGTTAAAACTGTAGAATATAAATACCAGCTGAAGTGCAAAATTCTAACAAGTATGATTAAATTAACAAGACATCTTTCTGTTGTGTGCTGTGCAGATACCCACAATACTACTACTGTCCATACAAGACTCACAAAGCTAGTCAAGAGACTACGATTATGACACTTCTCAGCTTGAATCTGAACACCACAGGCAAGGAACACACAATTTACCAGCTACTCAGAAATGATTCAGGAGTGATTGTATTATCGTGAAAAGAAGACTATACTGTGAATCCTTCTGTTTTCACTGATTTTAATAGGTGCAATATTTTTATATTTTCGTATCTGAAATCCAAAAGTACCTTATAATTGTTGTTGAACAGGTGCTAGTGGTGAGTAGTCATTCTCGTGCCAATACACAGGCACATAGGATAGGTTTCAACAGCTTGGAAGAAAATCCTGGAACCATCGTAAACCAATTTGTACTGGCCCTATTGTATCAATAATGAAATGTCAAGGTCATCTTGCAGGGGCAACGACCAAGAACTGCAAAACATGCAGCTGGAATGTGCTCAGAAGATGGAAACCTTGCCCTCAGATGACCTCAAGCCACAGGGAACCAAAAGTTCCCTGACGGAACTCAGTGTGAGAAGAAAGTGGTGAGGGGAACCTAATAAGAAGCGAAGGGTCCCTTGACTTGTAGCACACTGGACTTATAAGAGTGTTACACTCCCACCCTCCAATCAGATTCCAACAAGCTAGTGTTATGCATAATTACTCCTACTCCCAACTCCTTAAAAGTCTGTCCCAGCTTCAGCTCAGGGAGACAGATTTGAGCCTTGCCTCCTATCTCCTTGCTGGTTGACGTTGCAATAAAGCTCTTTCTTCTCTCAAAAGCCAGTGCCATTGTATTGGCTTCTATGCACATCAAGCAACAAGCTCTTGCTCAGTAACAATCTCAGACACAATAGTGGAGCATACTTAAGAATTGCTGTGGTACTAATACTCTTGGCGGCAAGGAAAACAATACTGGGTGGAAAAACATAGGCACAGACAATACTGAATGGAAAAATTATTCAGAAGAATAGGATTCTGGGGGCTGGCCTGGTGGTTAAGTTCACACACTCTTCTTCAGCTGCCCAGGGTTCACGGGTTCAGATCCTGGGCATAGACCTACACACCACTCATCAAGCCATGCTGTGGCAGCATCCCATACACAAAATGGAAGAAGGTTGGCACAGATATTAGCTCAGGGTCAATCTTCCTCACCACAAAAAGAATAGGATTCTGAACACGAAAAGTTTAGCAATGCCTTAACCATTTTATTTTCCTTTCTACATGAGTACGAGAGTCATATCTCATTTTAAAATGTATGATTAAAAGTAGGTCTAAATAAGTCTAAAAGGGATCTATTAATAATGTGAAATAAAAGGTCAAAACAATAAGAAAGTATGTCATAATTCAGTTGGCAGTGTTTTTTCTTTATTGGTGACACAGAAAACAATGGTGCATCTTGTCACTCCACAGTGCCTTAGAATCTACAGAATGCTTCATGTTGTTTATACTTATTTGGGGAACTGTAAAATGAAAAATTCTAAAATAAATCCTCTCTAATACCTCTTCTTGTTCTGTAGCTCTGTGCTTTTCTGTGTTGAAGCCTGGATCTCAGAGCTGATGAAGGACAGTGTCCAGGGCCTCAGGTCCACTTTTTAAGGGCCATGATTCCACTTTGCTGCCCAAGGTAAGGAAATAATTTTGAACCTTCAGATCCAAGCTGACTAAACTAAGACCATACTATGCATACAGAATAAATAAGGTAAGTACCTGAAAAACAGACTTAGAGGCAACAAGAGCCTAGAGCACAGGAAAGAATGTTCTGGAGCATCTTAGTGATTCTCTCCTTTTCCTCTCCAGCTAGGGTTATGGGACTACGTTTTTCTCTCTTTCCCCAGGAGTTTCATTCATAAGGCAAACACCATGCTGCTCTGGGAAGGAGTTTGTTTGCCTCAATCCTTGAAATGTCCAGAATTCGTTCCAATTAACCCAGTGAGGGGTCTTAAGGGATCCTGAAGTCCTAAGCCAGGGAACCTGACGAAATTACAGGAGTGCAAGTGGGAACTCTCCTGAGCTCAGATTGCTCCAGGTATAGAGCTCCTTTAAGATTTCCAGAGGAACCAGCAAGTAAGCAGGACTATTTTCAAAGCTATTTATATAGATAATCAGAAAGCATAAAGTAGGTATCTTAGGGGAAGACCAGGTGAATTGGATCTTTTAATGTTTCAGGAACAGATGGGCCCTATGACTTCTAGCCCCAAACCATTTCCAATTCAGTCCCACTGTCTGGACTCCCAAGACCCTTCTATGCCTCCTATTGTGACCAGAAACCAGGCAAGGAAAGGGTTACTGAGAATCTGATCCGTAATTAACATGGTCTGTCAAATGTTTTCCAGACAAGGAGAAAAATAAATGAGCAGTTTTTCAGAGGTTGATGTGCCCCTTTTTGCAGACATTGCCATCCTACAATGAAACTTACACAATTGCTGCAAGACTCCTACAAATTACTCCAGCTCTAAGTGACCAAAAGTTACCATGGACCCATTATGTAATGACATGTTCCTTGAATTCAGTATGTAATGGCATGTTCCATTGAACTTGCTATGTCATGGTACCCTGACTTTGTAATGTAATGGTGCCTTGAACTCATTATGTAATGGTCTGTACCTGTGCCCTGATTGAGCCCAGTTGTTACACAGTTGTAACATATCCTGTGCACTCTGATGTACAAAGTCTCCACCAGCACTAAGCTCGGAGAGACACTGTTTGGGGAGCTACCCCCAGTGTTCTCCATTGCTTGAGCAAGCAATAAACCTTTTTCTCCACCCACTTCATCCTTGGTAGTGTTTTTAGCTCCACGCTCACCAAGAGGCGAACCCAGTGAGTTTGGTTACACTATGAGCTGCAGAGGATCCATCAATGTAAAAGCAATGCCTTCAGATGTGTTCCCCTATTCTCCAAGGAGCTCATCCAGGAGGATACACGCTAGTAAGGATGTAAGGGGCAGAGGACACTTCAATGATAACCTCCCCCTCATCTCCACAAAGAGGTTCTGTAAAAATCATTAGCAGTTCTGCTCTATCTGATTCTCTGCATCAGCTTCTCTCCAAATGGAAAAGTGACCCTGTGCTCTTTTATTTCCTCTCCCTGAATGTTTTGCATCTATTAAACCAAAGCAAGGAAGCACAAACTCAAAGATGGAAGGTCCAAAGTCGGAAAGGGCAGGTGAGCTGATCAATGGGAGCGTCTTCACACCCGGCACAGAAATTCTTCTTTCCTAACAAATTCCACTGTTCAACTTGTTTCAAACTCCAGAATGAGTAACTGCATACGTTAAAAAGTGCATTTATATCCAGAGGGGAGTGTTTGCATATATGTTTTAGTTAATAAATAAAAAAGTATCCTGACCTCTGAGAGTCACTCAATAAATCACAACTATTATTTACATTTATCATCATTATCCTTAACTTTTCCACATATCCTTTATTAGGGAACAGTTTGTTCTGCTACACTATTGCTGCTATGAGTCTTTCTTTCACGACAAAACAGACTCCTGAGTCTTTTTTATTCATATTTTCTCAATTACTATTAAAAAGTTAATTTTAAATTTCTCAGTACTTGAGGTTTTATTTTTTGTGTATATAAGTTGACTCAGTATTAATTATAAATTTTATTGCCTTATAATCACAAAATTGACCTATAAATTTTCCTTCTTTCCATTTATTTGCATTTTTATCAGGCCAAGTAAGTTATAATTTTAAAATAAGTTTTCAAGGTAAACTTGACTGTTAATATTTAAGGTGTAGCATCACTTATGTTTTTAAAATAAGTTTTAGTGTTCACATATTCTAGATTCGTACTTATTTTTTGTCGTTTTGCTCATAAAAATGAATAAAATCTTATTATATTTCTATTGAATCATTTTAAAATACGAGTCTACCATGTCAAGACTCATGAAAGAAAGCCAAACAAATATTCAGGGGAAAAATAATATCATTTAAATATTTTCATTATTAGAAAAGAAAGTGAAAAGATAAACTGTTTGAATATTTCAGATTTCAGGAAAACAAAACAAAAATGTTAAAGAATCTAGGAGAAAGAAAACAATGCAAATATAATCAATTCAAAAGTAAACTTAAGAGCAAATAAAAATATTCAAAATAAATTAGATAAATTTTGGAAACTTTTAAAAAGCAAATAGTAAGTGAAAGTATATATGAGAAATCATGAAATATGTGGAAAAATTAAAATATCACTGACAACACCAAATTCAGTGATAATCAATAAATTAGAAGTTAAAAATGAAATGGTAAAAATGACGTAATGAGAAATAGAGAATCAAGGTTTGAGCTGGACTTCCGTCCTGGAGAGGTCTGGTCTATGTCTCGTTCACCCTGTTTACGCTCCAGCCCCTCAGTGGTCCGAGTGAAAAGCCTGCCTGTACTGTTCACCAGGTCTCATCCTCCATGGTGAGCCCTGGACTCTGATTTTTGTCCCTCCAGCCCTGAGAAGTTGCTGAAAGCTCTTTTCAGTGTCTCAGCCTCTTAGCTACCACTTTAGGTTTTGTAATTAGCAATCCTCTTAAAGAGAAATGTGGCCCCAAATGTTGAGCTCAACCTCCTTTGGCTCCTCTAGATCTTGTCTCTGCAAATTTTCATTGCCTGGGTAGCTCTCTGATGGCTTCAACCATCTGTTTTATTTTATTTAGCTTGCACTCCATGGGAGGGTTGGTCCAAACCTCTGGTCAACCATAAATAGAACTCAATTTAATCATCTTTGAAGATAAACAGATCTTTCAGGGCCCACTCTTTATATAAAATGCTTGCTTTGGTGCGTTCTCTTTGACTCATCTTGTTTATCTGAGCACTATTTATATAGTGAGGAAATTCTTCTCTTAAAGTGAGTGGAGGTCATGGTATTTGTTTGCATTCACTGTAGAGTCTTTTAGCTTCCCGAGCAGGTTGGGAATGATGCATGGCCTTGAGTAGTTGTTGGTGAAGGATTCTTTCTCCCCTGCCTGTCAACCTCTAATTTTGTTGAAGCTCCAAACCCATGCATCAGCTTCGCTGAGTGAAGGACATATACTGTGCTCTGAAGGCTGAGTTTGAGCCTGTGCTGCTTCTCCTCGGTGAGGTGATTTTTGTCAGCAGTTCCCCCATTCACTCTTTTTGTTTAGTGTGTTCAAACTTTCTTCCAGTTGATTGTTTCTTTCCTCCAACTGGATCCCAACCAAGGCAATGATTTCTGTGACATTATTTACCACACCTCTTCTGCCTTCTTAGCGAAGTGCTAGTAATCTTTCAGAGATAATGGTTAAGTGCTTTGTCGCTAAGCCAGATTCCAGGATTCAAATCCCAATTCCAAAGCCCACGCGCATGTGCCATTGAAAGAGTGATTTAACCTGAGTTACAGTTTTGTTATGTGCAAAATAGGCATAATAATTGTACCTACCTCATGGGTTATTGTGAAGACTAAATGAGAGAAGAAGAGCTTAATAAATATTGGCTATTAGTAGTTGTTACTATCTTGAGGGAGTAAGTGCTTCCCTTTTTTCCTCCCGGTGTACAAACCCCTTAACGTCTTTTTCAGCATATTGGGGAATGTCAGCCACTGCTTTAGAATTTCCTCCTGAGAAGGATACATTATCCTGTGCATTTTCGCTAGCAAAAAAAATCCTGTATAACCTAAATCTTATCGTGAAGAAACAATCAGATAAACCCCAATTGAGGATCATTCTAAAAAACGGTGGGCCTATATTCTTCAAAACCATCAATGTAGTAAAAAACAATGGCAGGCTGAGAAATATACCAGGTTAAAGGAAACTAAAGAGACATGAAAACTAAATGCAATGCATAATCCTGGATTGGATGCTGAATTAGGGAAAAAATCTGTATAAGACATTATTCGGCCAATTTTTAAAATCTAAGTATGTTGTATATATTAGATATCGCTGTCGTATTAATGTTACATTTCCAAGATTTGATCATTGTGCTGTGATTATATAAGAGAATGCCTCTGTTCTTTAGCATAATATATGCTAAAATTTATCATGATACATGCTAAAATGTCTAGGGCTTAAGTGTCATGAGGTCTGCAACTTACTCTCAAATGATTCACAACAATGACAATAATACAAATAATATGTATATATGTTTGCATATAAATATATGTATATGTGTGTGTATGTGTGTGAATTTATATACCTACAAAGCAAATACAACAAAATGTTAAAAACTAGTAAGTCTAGATGGGGAGAATATGGGAATTCATTTACTATCACAATTTTTCTCTAGGCTTGAATTACAGCTTTATTTTATTTATTTATTTTTTTGGTGAGGAAGATTGGCCCAGAGCTAACATCTGTGGCCAATCTTCCTTTTTTTGCTTGAGGAAGAGTGTTCCTGAGCTAACATCTGTGCCGATCTTCCTCTATTTTGTATATGGGACACTGCCACAGTATGGCCTGATGGGCGATGCCAATGTCTGCGCCCGGGATCCGAACCAGCAAACCCCAGGCCGCTGAAGCAAAGCAATGTGAACTTAATCGCTAAGCCACCAGGCCAGCCCCTGAATTACAATTTTAAAAATTAAAAAGTTAGAAATTCTGGCTCCAGTATATCCCTATAATTATAGAGTAAAATAAAGCTTCTACACTCAGGCTCATCAAGAATTTCTGTTGATTTATATGAATGGATCATCTTTCTTATTTCTTTGCATGCTTCACAACATTTTGCTGAAAATGAATTTTTTTTAATAGTAGAATGTGGTAACCCTGAAAATCTGATTCATCCCCCATTCAGGGTTTTTCTGTTGCTTGCTGTAGGCTGCAGCTGATTGTTTAGTGTCTTTTCTAAACTATTTTTGTAAAGTCTGTATTCTTTGTCCTGGGTGGTCTCTGAAGTCTCTGTTCCTTTAGCATGCATTCAGCTAGGGTTTTGACAGAGATTTCTTGAATGTCAGGAGGCAAAAAGAGAGAGAGGGAGAGGAACTCTCATTCTTTGCAGGTTAGCTCTATGCTTGGGTCTTCATTCAATACTCAGCCAGGCCATTTATAACCCTGCCTCCACTTCCTTCCCTTCGCTTCACTTGCACTGAGCCTGGAAATCAGCCAAAGGCTAAATTCTAGGGCCTTCTCAGGACTTTTGTGAGCATGTATCTAAAGTAGCAACTAGAGCAGCCAAACAGAGACAGAAAGTAGAAGCGTGGTTGCCAGGGGCTAGGGCAGAGGGGAATGGGGAGTTCGTTTCAGTTTTGCAAAATGCAAAGAGTTGTGTGGATGGATGGTAGTGGTGGTTGCACGACAATATGAATGTACTTAATGCCACTGAACCGTACACCTAAAAATGGTCCCAGTGGAAAACTTTATGTTGCGTGTATTTCATCACAACTAAAATATTATTGATGTTGATTACTGAGGTTTTGGACACCCCCTTAAATTTTGCTCCCAAGGCTCATCCTAGTGGGTTGGCATCCTCACTCAGTCCCATCTCAACTGGAAGAACAGGAGACTCTGGGCCAGAACCCTGAATCCCACCCCTAGTTTCATTTCTTGTCCATCAGTTGCCGGACAGTTCCAGAGGATCCAGGAGCCCCTTACATAGCTAAAGAGGATCAAGGACCCGTGTCTCAGTCCCAGAAACCAACGATTTCTGCATCTCGGTTCTGCAGAGGCAAGAACTGAGGGTCAGGTGGCCCGTGGCCCTGATGTAGGAAGCAGCAGTGTGTCCCAAATTGTGCCCCACTGGGTTGGAGAAAATGCTGCAGATGCTCCACCTGTGCAGAGCTGAAACTAGCAGAGCCTAAAGGATACCTTGGAACCTGCTCTCAGCCTGACGATTCCGAGGCTAGTGGGTAACCAAGGGCCCAGGAAACCAGTTGGTCGCTCCTAGAAGCCCTTGCAACCATGGGCAATTTCACATTCTTCTTGGCTAGAGTTGAGTTGCTTTCCTTCCTCTCTAAGTCGTGGGAATGGTGAAGTAGCTTCAACGCCTTCTCAGTCCCTACAATGTGCAGTGATTTTGGCTCAAAGCAGAAGAGGAAAAAGAACTGGATTTCACTAGGGGGAGGAGCGACAGCCAGCACAGTTTATGGACTCCCCGATAAGGCCCATCTGCCTCTTTCCAGGGGTTTTAATGAAAGAAGCTTCTACATGCTTCACACCAGAAATTCTTTTCTTGGGGGTAAAAAAAAAAAAAAGTTGTGTGACTTAATTGTTTTGGAAATTTCCATTTTTCAAATGATCTAATACCCGAATGACTAATGAGGAATCTTTCAGATTTTCTGGAAAAGAAACCAATTCAAACAAAGGTGAAATCAACGTGCCACACCCAGAAATGTGGAATGAATGGACCATATTCAATGTAAGCCAAGAACCCTGGGAAGGCAACACCCGTTGCAGTTCCTGGCTATCCGGCTG